ATATTTTAGCTGTGATTTTATAAAAGAGTGTTACACTTAAACAACACTTACAAACCTGAATCTGACTCCTTAACATTAGTCTCCTTACAGGCTCAAATACGTCAGAGTTTCCTTTTTATTTCTTAAAACTTCAATGGTACAGTATAGTACATATTTCTTCATAGAGACTCAAAGATAGCATGATTACATATGTCCTATCTTATTCATAACCTCAAAGGCAGCCAAACACTTTGCCTCTGTACTACTCACAGACTCAAAGATGGCGTAATTCTCTCCTATATTCATGCCAGGCACCACTCCCTGTCCCCCTGTCAGTCCAGCTGCTATATTCCCCACTATGTTACCATACAGATTGGGGAGCACCATCACATCAAACTGCTGGGGGCGGGACACCATCTACAATAATGAAAGAAAAACAGTCAGGCCCAGTGTACACTCTGAGATAGCAGCTGAGCTACCTGCCTCACAAGCTTTCAGCTTAGAGTGTGAGCTGACCTGATAAGTTGAGAAGCCATTTTGGTTTTGGCTTCAAATACCTTCAAAGGAACAAGAGCTCTGTGTTTTGCTCCACATATACATATGAGTCTGCATTCTACTAATGTGTCCTAAATTGGAACCCCAATTTTCTTCAGCAATCAGTTATTTCTAACATAACATAGTAGAATGATTTTTTTTGCATTACCCAAAAATTGCGTTCAGCCTTTATAGCTATTGTAGCACATGCAACATAAATATATAATAATGGTTATTAATCTTTATAAATATGTTTACCTTTTTCATGAACATAAGTAAAGACTAGGATAAAAAATGTCAATTTTAAAACAACATTTCATTTCCCATACCTGCATACTACAGTTATCAATGATCATGGACTCAAATTCTATTTGTGGAAATTCCTCTGAAACCTTTCTGCAACATTCCAAAAACAGACCATCCCCAAGTTTCCTAAAAAAAGAAGGGAAATTACTTTTAAAAGTAAAATATTATTGAACTCAGAAAAAGACAGGTTGTCATCATTTTTATATCATTCTAACATCAATTTGAACTGAAAAACATAATTTAATATTTATTTTCAAATATCTACTGTACTGTTGTGATTTATTTTTAACATCAATAAAGAGAACCAATATTTCAATGTTCACAAATTGATGTTTCCTATGCCAAAAAACAAATACTCTTAAGCCATCTTACATGATATTGGCCTTGTGCACTGCAGTGACTTTTTTCCTTCCATGTTCTACAGCATAGTTAAAGGCATATCTGGCAATTCTGGTGGACTTGGCAGCTGTGATGATCTTCAGGCTCTCAACTACTCCAGGGACATTCTAAACATAAATAATGTATTGTAATAATATTGTAATAGCAAAGGAAAACCAATCTTATCATCATGCAATCAGTTACACTTTGCCAAATACTTCAGGGTAGCAACAGTAAATGACTGTAGATAGAACCACATCAATATATCTGTTGACATGATGTAAAAATGGCTAAATGACTGCACAAAGACATGTGGTAAGGTAATTAAAGTCTTTACACAGAGTCCGTTATTACCTCATGTTCCAGGTTAGAGTATTCTCCCTCTGTGTTTTCTCTGATAATCACCACATCAATGTTGTCATGCCTAGTCTGTACACCTGGGATGGACTGAACTTTGATCACACTGGCAAACAGATCCAGCTCTGTCCTGGAGAAAAAATATATAGTGCATTGTTATATTGTGTTTTCTTCATAATAAGGATTATCTGTATCAGTATTAGACCAGCAAACATTTAAGCAGAGTGATGGAAAATATTTTTAAAAAAAATCTTTTTCAGTGTTTTAGTCAAGACCTGGAGATAAAAAATATATGAACCTGAACATTGTTCCAACATTAATTTACCTAAACTTTACACCAATTGAGGTAAGTGTGTAAGGTGTGACAGCTTAACAACACTAGTATAACAATACCTCAACTGTGCATTTAGTGAACCAGTTGGAGAATCTATTCCTGTCTCTACGCTCCCCTTCAGGGCTGTACCATTTCTCTTCACTGCCAGCAAAGCTTGTCTGAAGGCTTCTGAATCGTTGTGCTCTCGGTCCAAGCGAATCTCTTCAAAGTCCACAGGGACACCTGCATACCTGTAAAAATTTGTCAGAAATATTCGAATAAAAAATATTGCACTCAGTATCTTCAGAGTTTGAGAGACCCAGTTACAAATAGCCATACTACTGGGATACTAAAACAGTATCACTTCTTTCAGAGTAATATGTAATGATGAGGATGGCTGAACAATAGTCAAGTCTATATAAAATTATATATACTGAAGAACTCCAGGCCTCTGACTGATTAGATAAAATGCCCTATTCAGTACAGTATGCCATGTATGCAAATAGGACTTGAGATGAACCTCCTCTCATACTATGTAATATTTTCCTATAATATAGTTCCTTAGGAACTATGTTCTAATTGAGAGTATATCATGTATTAAAGATTCCATTTGAACTTGTGTTAGCTAGAAGGTAAAAAGGTCTCAGATGTAAGTATAGTAGCTGGGTGGGTGGACCCACTCAGTTGGTAGAGCAGTCGCATGAAGAGCAAGTGTCGGGGGTTTGAGACCGGGTTGAGTCCGCTACTTATCCCAAATCTCTACATAATATTACCTGAAAACTTGCTTAACATGTCCCATGAGTTCCGGACCCACTCCATCTCCTGCCATCAGTGTGACAGTATGCCTCCCTCCATACTGAGCTCTCACAGTGGGGGCCTGAGAATTAACATGTAGAAATATGAAAATATATCAATTCACCTTTAACATAATGCAATGGAATCTGTAACTAAAATGGAATCTATGTGGACGAATAAAGTAATTAACACAAAAACAAACTGACTGATTAATTAAAAAAAAAAAGAACTGTTAGTAAAATAAATTTGAATGCATAAATGAATAATGGTAAATAAATGAACAATCCAAGAAATGTACACATAACTGAAAAGATATGACAATGAAAGTGCAAATATTAACGAGTATAGTCTATCTCATTCATCATACATGATACAGTTTAAAATATTTTTTATCTATTTCTACTTAGAAAATATTACTCACTGGGGTCGAATAACCTCTTTTGTGAAGACAGGATACACAACGCAGTCCAGACAAAAAGTGTTCCTGGAATAGTATTCATATGAGCACACTACAATTTAAAAAGTGCTTAAAATTATAACATGTAGATTCCAACTCCAAATCAACATTCAACTCAAGTTATCATTGATCCAAGGGATGCATACACTTTGCTAGGTAGATCACAATCCGCTAGGGGCGCTACAGTCGTAACTATCCACGGGCAGTGAAGTGTTAAACTGAAGTCGGCCTGCTGACAGTTCGCCTATGGAACCCCTTTTTTAAATTTCTTTTTTAGCGCTGCGTAAAAAAACTAATACAAGCCATTAACTAAATAAGTTGTAAATCAAAGAGTAAAATCCGGTCACATGATTTTCCCATGTTGCAGTCTTTGACAAGTTTCGGTTCTGCTTGTTTTAAGTTTTGCCTCTACAAAATGCTAAAAAATTTCAGGTAAGTGCTGGTATCATCTTTTTGAAATTTATATCCAGCAAAGTTTATGAAATTTGCTATATTATGTAGAAAAATCATGAAATTTGAAGGTTGCGAAGTATAGTTAATTTAATCCGCAATATTACATGATGTGAAAATTACCACAGGGAAATAGCTCTGCCCTGATTAGTCACAGGCTATGTGAGCCAGACAATAGGCTGAGCACACAAAGACACACAGGGTGCTCTGCTGCGCCTGAGTGATCACTGCTGGTCAGTGGGCACAGGTTTTGAGCTGAGAAGTGTGGACACTTTTGGTGGATTTTTGCAGTTAAAAAACTTCAATATCTTTGTTGCTTGTAGGAATATTTAAAAAATTCCCAATGATTTCATCCGGTTTTTGCATTACCTTTCAGATGATATAAGTATTTTAATTTTCTGATCAGTTTGAAAATTTTTCTGATATACCTAACTTTGCCAATGCAGGCGTCTTATAAACCTTCCCACAATACGTTATTCAACCAAACTAAGTTTTCATAATTAACATATATAGTAACCATTAGATATAATTATCCGATAAAACGTACATTTGAAAGCGTCCTGAAAGAAAAATTGCTCACAAAAGCTCGCAAGACACTAGCAGACCGTCCCACGCCGGATGCCATATTTGCTACTCTTCCAAGACAGTCTTGCTCTATTTATCACTATTGACAGAAATTTACCTTAATACTCTTTATTTTGCTTTGTTACCATAGTGTTAATCACATAAAATTGTATTTTGTAGATTTTAACTTAGAGATAGCTAAAAAATCCCAAATGAATAAACAAAAAGAGTCTGTCTTGGATTTTTAATCTTAGTTCCCTAGAATAGTATCCATGTAGATCTGATAAAACGAATAAAATATCATGCTTTATTGGGCAATTAATTACTTTAATTAATTATTAAATGATATAATATTATACGGTAATTGAAAATATGCATGATTTAACAGGATAATTTGCACCGATTTTTAAAGTTGTTTCTAGGAACCAGTTAAAGTAAAGGTCGAATGGCTGAAGGATGATTTTTCGACGATTTTTATATCTTATCAAATCTTCGGAGTCTTCTGACAAAAATCATAGTTAATAGACATGAAGAAATGGGAACTATGGTTTCTAGACTAGTAGGATACTTACTATCTCCAATTAGGTACCTCTTTGGAACTCCTGCCGTTGAGGGAACAGGGCAGGATCTTGTCCCTTGCAAATCGGGACCAACTCCATTTGTCTTCAAAAGAAGAGGGTGAGGAAGTGCAATCTCATATATACCAGTGACAATATATGATGTTTTCATTTGTCTCAAGCACAATTACTATGCAATTTGACATTGTTGTGATTGTTTGTTTTCACACTTTAATTCAGCACTATTGGTAAAAATATTGTGACTTCTGAAATAATTACAAAATAATTTTGGTTGTTTGTTTTCAAAACTTTATTTAGTTATTGATAATGGCATGATTCTTATTTAATTAAAGTTACTGCACCACGTTAAACAAAGATTATGGGGAGTTGCTTGACTGTTGGATTTACACTCAACACAAAAGTTTTATGTAAGCTTTTATTTTGACAAAAATAGGTCTCAATTCTTTGATGAAGATGGTGATCTAGCTCATGAATTTTATGAAGAAGTCAGAGTGGAGAAAAATGGCAAGAAAATGGTTATGCAAAAGAGAGTAAAAAATTTGACACCTCAGGTAATTTTACCCTTCTTATCATCTGATTTTTGTGAGGAAGGTGGCATTTTGACTCGTTGAAGTAAGGAGAGACAACATTTCATTACCAAATAACAGATAAAATAAAATGAGAATTATGTGATATTCATAAATGTAAAAAAAAGATATTCATCTAATATCTATGATATAAGCAATATATATATTTCTGTGTATTTTAGGGTTATGTGGATTTGCCCCATCCAAGGATTAATAAAGACTTTCCAGTTGTGATGTGTGAGGCTCTGTGGACCACAGATAGATGATGGTGATTCCTGTTTCTGTGAAGTAATGAGATCCTAACGCAGAAACATAACTGATGATACAGAAATGGGGACATAGAACAGAAATGTAGCAACTCATAAAGTTTAAACAAATCTTATGTACCCCACTTTACAAAACGAGGTTTTTATGTGTAATATCTGAAAACAGATATTATTGAAATAGAAACAAGTTTGTTGGGCTCATGCCAAAAAGTATTATATTGTGGGTGACTTAAGCCTAAGACTCTATGAAAAATTAGATACTGGAATATGACAGGCTTTAGAATTTTTTAGTAATTATCATATTTATAAAAACAATTAAATATTTATGGGCATATCCACCTTTTAGTAATAAGTTAAACATTATTGGTTCATAGAATAGGGTATTTCATTTATTTCGTTTGAGCTGTATTTCCAAATGTTTTATAACTATTTAACAAGTAGTAATGTTAATGTGTCATGTTCTTTTGAGGTTAAATGACATAACACTATGCTGTCATCGTGAAAGATAACTCTTTTTTATTGTTAAAAGAAGTAAACACAGCTCAAGGTAATTTCACAATACTGCAAACAATTTACTATTTTGTTTANTGTATTTCCACATAAGCAGTTGCATAGGTTTTTATGTCTTTAAACATTATGTAATATTATTTTATGCACTGTCAACATTTTTCAAATATTGGGATTTTCATTATGTGAATTTGAACTCTCATAGTCCAGAAACTATAATCTTATTGCAGGGGTGGATTGAGGCCGTCTTCTGGGTCTTTCAGATGACGGTCAGATTTTAAAGTTTACATTGACTGGTATCAATTTTTTTCTGTTGGAAGACCATCAAAAGTGGAGGATGGATCAACAAAGATACTTTGGAATAATGTCAGAAAATACCTCTGGATCTGCTCCTGTTATTGACCATGTTACCTGTTGTGCATGATCAAAAATCAGTGTTAACTGACTGTGTTATTATAAGCATTATTTATTATTGCATCAAAATTGACAAAATGACCTATTTTGCATCTTTATTTTCTGTTTTTTGTCTGTACATTTGACAGCTTTGCTGCCTTGTTTTCTTTTTTGAGACATTCCTAGAGCTGAAGGGGAGGGGAGCAAGTTTCGTATCTCATTATGGATTCTGTTAAATTATTTTTAATAAAGTTCAACAATTAAGGATTTACTTTGACACCAAAGTAAATTGAAATCAAAGCAACATTTTGAAGATAATTATTAGTACTTGTTTTTTCTCTCCAGGTTTAGTAAAGTGTTTAGATCTTTAGAAAAAAAAATTTGAACACAAAATGTAAAAACTATTGATCTAAGGCCTCCTGATGGTCATGGGCATTGTTTCTCATTATTTTGCTTTATTTATTTTCAGTTTGAAAAATATACAAAACCTGGTCTAAATGTAGCATAATTGACTATTATTTAAAAATATAATTTAGGATTTCATTGATATGTGACTGTAAGCATAGATTTGTTTGTGAAAGAGAATTTATCTCATTTTAACAGCAAATTATACAAGATTCCATTTGAATTTCTTCATATGTCAAATCAGGCATTCTAAAACTATATGGTTGTCTAAATATTGTTTTAAATTGTTGCTCAAGCCAATAGACTCACTGATCATTAGAGTTCCCATGGGTTAAACATCACAGCTCCCCAGCTCCACTTTCTTTTTACTTACTGAGATCATTTGATTGTTTAAGATTGTGCAATAAACATTATAAAACTGATTTATTTTCACCTTTTGTTCAATCATGAAATATTACCATTTCCCAGCAAAATACAATACATTGTATATAAAAACATTTCCTTTTTGATACACACATATATACATACCATACAATCAATTTATTTAAGAACATATATATAAATAAATACGTAGAAGTAAAAAGTTTTGTGCATGTAGATGACTAGAAGCTTTCAGTGCAAAACATTGAAAAACAGTGAAAAAGAAATCTAATATGCAGAAAATCTATGTTCCTTCTGAACACATTTGGTAAGCAATTTTGATAGCAATTTTAATTGGCAGTATTGCCATTGAATAAACTAGAAAATTTTAAAATGAAGAACACAAAAGAGGTTTCTACATTGCATGATGACTGTAGGTGTCAGCATAGTAAATACTTAGAACTGCCTGATATTAAAATTAACTATGAAATGAAAAAAAAAGCTTCTTTCTGAGCTAATTTTCTTATTTAAAATGTATAAATAAAAATACTGTTAAAACCGATCTATAACTGAAAGTCTGTATTACATTATCAGTCAAATCTGTAACTTATATCAATGAGACTTAAAACCGCCTTTACTTATTGCAATGTTCACATTTTTAAAATTCATCAACTTCTAATTTCTTTAAAATAATTAATTGATAAGACTGCAATCCAGTGGGTTGAAGTTGTACTTGAAACATTAATAACATTGGAATTTAAATAAAATGCTTAAATTAAACTAAGTCAAAAACCTAAAAAAATCTTGCATGTCTGAAAAATACTTTTCGGAAATTTCAGATCTTCATTTTCTGATATCACTTATGAAATGGGATATTTTTTCAGTATGCTAATGTGAATTTGGTCTTCATGTAAATATCATATTAATCTGGATTAACATTAACTACTAATGCACCTCTACGTTGCTGACAACATCTCATGCTCATAATCTCATTCTTCAATAGTGGTAAAATGCAGACAACCGTCAAAGCAGTCTGAAGATGGAATATGAAATAACAAAAAAAAAAAAAAAACAATTAAAAATAGTCCCACAGCCGCATCCATTTATTGCAGAAATCAAATCAAGCAGTTTGAAATATAACCAAATACTAAAATTAGCCATTTTAGACACATTACGGATCTTTTTATTGGCAAATGATCTTGAACTGAGCAAAATTAACTATTTTCAAAAAATTCATATTTTACCCTTTAACTTACCACCCATCAACTTACCATGACAATAAAGAAATAAAACACCCACTGCCAGCTGGTGTGAACTTGGATTACAGGAACCAAAATCTGAAAAAAGAAGAATCACTGATTATAAATTAAGCAATAAATTCAAATCATGAACTTTCAGGCACTAAAATTCAAATTTCATTATCACAGGTGTTTATCTCCATAACTTGCATGACTTATAAATTTTAATTTATTGCAGAACTCCCAAACAGGTGTATAGATCACAACTACTTCCCGCAAGGAGGTTATGTTTTTTTTTATTTCATTAGTTTGTCTGTCTGTTAGCAAAAAAATTATCACGGCAGAATTAAATGAAAGTTTCAAGATGGGTCAAAAATGAGCTACCTAAACAGTGATAAGATTTTGATGATGGTCCATTAATTAACTAATGGTAAATAATTAGTTAATTATTTGTCTTGGCAGAAGTCTATGTTCTCTGAGTGCTCTTCTAGTTTTGTCAGTGGTTTTGGAAACAGTATACCTTATCCCATGGTGATTAAGGTAAAAGTTTATAAAATTTTTCAGACAAAATTTCTTTTTTGCTAGATAAAGGTTTAAGATTCACTATGTGTATTTTATTATTCAATAACAAATGTAATATGATAACAGAGTTTCATCCTTATACTACAGACCTGTCCAATGGCAGCTCCAACACTACCAGTGCCATCTACAATCCCAGCCACTGTTGCTAGGGCCTCCTTGTTGCCTTGCACTGGGCCCTGACGACCTGGACAAAAGAAAAAGAGAGAAAAACTATGGTCAGTTTACACAAAAATCATTCATATTAAGGTATCTTCATTGTAAGCAGAGCTGGACAAACAGAATCATAAATTGCAAACAATCAGCAAACCATGTATTAATTACCTAAATCTGCTGATATGGCTGAGCTTATTAAATTTGCAGGTCCTCCTATGAAGAAACCAGTCACGCCCATTAAGAAACCATTCCAATACAGATCTTTTGGTGATTCTAAAAAAAGAAAAAAAATATCAAATTGAATTACAACAGCCACAATATACTTTATAAAAGTCCTGTTTAGTTAAGTAGTACATTTGTTTCTTTTTTTTTAAAGTAATCTTAAAGCAGAATCTTACCATTTCGCAAACAATTTTACCACTTGGAAAAAACTTTAATAAAATAAATTAAGTATGACCATAAAAAAATGAGAGCTGGTATTGAGAAATACTTACTACTATAAATGAACAAAGATGGCAGTGCTAGTATTAACATAAAAACAACTACTGGTGATCTCTTCTTCATTATATCCTGAAATGAACGAAATTCATTAACCATGGCAAAAACCAAACACACTGCCATCTCTCGCCTTTTGAACATCAAAGTATAAAATTTATTTATGTTGTTTTTTTTTAAATCTCTCCCAAATATAATGCTAAATATCATCATAATGTTTTTCATTCATAAAACTTGCCCTTTTTTAATTAAAAATATATGACACACTATTTTTTATGAAACATACTTACTGAAATCAATCCTCCCACAATTCCTGCTATAATCCCGCCCACATCATACCAGATTGACAGGTCGTCTGCTGTGGTATCCGGCCAATTGAAATGGACTGCCAGGTAAAATGGCAGCCAGAAGAAGAAAGAGTAGTTCACCAACTTCAAGCAAGCATAGGATAGGGAATACTGGTTAAAAGAAGGAACATTTAAAAGTTAAATTTTAGTTTTGAAGTCCTACCAAGCTACATATGAACTGTATATTCTAATCCTGTTAAGATGATTCCTGTGACAGAACCAATTATCAAGTTGTAGTATGACCTATTTTTTATCTATCTACAATTCCTAAAATTCTAATACAAAACTAGTATGCAAATTCCTAAAATTCTAACAAAAATCATGTAGAGTGAGTTCACTTCAATTCAGAACATTCAATTTCATTTCTTTTTTTTTCTATATAAATCTTGAAATATAACAAAATGTTTGAAATTTAATTGATGTGATTGTTCCGAATATGTATGAGCAGTCATCACAACCTACCGGAATGACCCCTGGCAGCAGAATGGCCTGAATGAACCCAATAGCCTCAGCCCTCTCCTTGTGGTCTTCTGTATTAGGACCATCTCCATTCACTTCATCCACCAAAAGTGGGGCTGAAAGATAGTAAAACTTTTAGTTAATTACTTCCTGGTACTCAAGGAGGCGTGCCAGACATTTAAGCTGATTACAGTGATTGCACTTAGTGAGGATCTCCTGCAGAGTTGGAGCGATCCAGCTAGTATGATGGTTTATCTGAAAACTCGCTTAATATCTAACTTAAATGAATAACCATAGTGATTAACTTGGTCATCTTTGCTTTTTATGTCAGTTGCCTAGTGACCCCAAGTGAGAGTTTATTAGTTAATTTTATGTCTGACTTATTTCAGTACATTGTATGTGAACATGCCAAACATCTACATTGAGTACTTACTTGTGACACCAGCACCAGTTTTATCCTCCTCCTCCTCCTCATCTGCCTCTGGCATCCCTATCTCTCTTGGAGATGGAATCAATCCAAAGAATACCACCACGCCTCCAGCAAATAGAACAGCAGATGTTACCAGGAATGGATACTGAAAGAGTGGGAGTGGAGAGTTAGAAATCAAATGGGTAAGGGTGAGAATTCATTACATCACAACACATCTCCATTCATCAGATAAGATGGTTCATTAGGAAAAGATATATCACATAAAATAAAAAATGTGGGTCACCAAAATTGTTTTTTAAAAAATTAGTAAGACTTAGATTCAGTTGAATTTGTAATCAATTCTTTCCCCTCCTTAATTACTGTTATAATTAACTCACCTCATATCCAAAGGGGAGGACAGCAGCACTGAGAAGAGTCCCAATTATGTTTCCAACTGATGCACAGGCACTCCAGATACCAAACACCACACCGCGACTGGAAATCAATACCATTAAGAAGAAAATATAATATTATTGAATTGACATGATTCAAAACAAGAACTAGGAATGAATCTTTGATTCATTGAAATACTGCACATGCGTAATTGATTCAACTGTTAATCAGGGGTGGATGGTGGCCGTCTTCTGGGTCTTCTGGAAGACTGTGATAATTTTTCAAGTTTACATTGAAAGTCACCTAATTTTTCTGTCGGAAGACGGTCAAAAATGGAGGATGGGTCAACAAAGATAATTTGGAAGACTGTCAGAAAATATCTCTGGATCTGCCCCTGTTAATCTAAATCACTCACCTAGACTTTCCAAACCAGTTCCCCATGATAGCCACCACAGTGGGCCAGCCACTGGACTGTAGCAAACCATTCAGTATCCACACTGCCATGTAGAAGTATATGTTGTAGAACTGGACCCATTCTGTCACCGTGCCAAACAGAAATACCTGTATAATAAATTGTATTTATCTTAAAATGTTCAGTATTCATAACTGCATGGAGAAGTATATATTGTAAATCTGAATCTAGTCTGTCCAAATCTGTCAACCATTTTAAGTTCAATAAACCAAAGGAAAGACATACCTGGGGTAGCACTAGCAATTTTTTTTTTGCTTAGCCAAATCACCACATTTTGTCAATTTGTTATCAAAATGGTTAGAATTTGGCTAAAACAAGTCAAATCAGGCCCTTTTTCTTTAGCCAATTTAAGTCAGTTTTAGCATTTGGCTAAACTGGCGAGTGTTAGCGTTACCCCAGCATACTGTGAAATAACCTGTTAAATGTACAACTACACATTATCATAATTAAATGGCTATCAAATTGAATCATTAATTCGACGAGCCTTTTAGTCAAGACTCTGAAGTTACTCACTAGAAGAGCTGAAGAACACATTCCAAAGGAGAGTACATAGCGCATGTTTAATCTGTCACCTAGTGGTCCACTAAAGTAGAGTCCCTACAAGAAATACACATATCATTATGAAACAAATCTTTCAAGAATAATTTTTATAACTTATTTCAAAAGAAAAAGGGACTTAAATATCTAAGACCAGGCAATTCATCATATCAGTAACCATGGAAAACAATCTTCCACTCAAGCTCCATAAAAAAAATACATTAAACAAATAAATAAATAAAAAACAAACAACTACCTACCACAGCATAAGCCACCATAAATGCAGTGTCAAGAGCTCCCAAGAAATATTCTGCATCATCTTTATTGGCAAACATTTTGTGGTCATTCCAGATCTGAAAATGTAATCAAATATTCCATAAGTAACAAGATATGGTGCTTTAATTGGGTGGACAAAAACGTGTACTGGAACTGGATTTTAAAATTGATTCAGGTTATTTTTTACCAGAATAGTTCTGTTGGCCAGCAATGGTTTCTTAGGTATATATGACAAATTGTAAGACTGATTGTTTTTTCTTTCTTTTTGAGAGATAACAAGACTAAAAATGGAGATAATATTATAAGTAAAATGTACATGACATTGTTTTAAGTATTACAGGAATCATCAAAGCAATGCATTTATATAGTATGTATATATATTTAGTCTAAGACCTACATGATCAGGTTTAGTTTCTCTGATGGTAGCATTGTGGCACTGTGGTGTCCACACTTGAGTGAGGCTGTCCTTCACATTACTAAATGTCTTCCTGGTGGCATGAAAAAAGGCATAGCTGGAAAACACCAAGGGTCCATTTATTATGAATACAATATTGAAATTCTTTACAAATACCAACATTTTGTCATGCCGGAACTAAGAAATTAACTGAGACTATAAACTAACTGATTTTGCACTCTGTTTTGAATTCTGTTTCATTCCAGACTAAGCACTTAAAAGTTCAACAAGTTGGATATTTGCATTACAAAATTTACAGCTACCACAGCTTGCACCGATCAAAATTATGGCAAACAATTAAACATAAGTGCAGTCTACGTACCTCATAAAAGTAAGAATAAAAATGGTGACATGATAAAATGTCCATTTTAATTTTTTAGTGGGACGTTGTTGTCCCGAATCAGCACCCTCCATATCATTTCCTTGTTTTGCGTAGCTACCTCCGAATACAAAAGAGCGAGCACTTTCAGTCTCAACATTTCAAAGATGACGCTAATTTTAGAAAAAAAATTGAATAATATTATTCAAATGTTTTCATTTCAAATTACTGTGCTGATCATTTTCAAAAATTGTACTGTATTTAATTTTTTTTCAGTATTATATGGGTCAAGGTTATCACCACTGTATTTATCAACATGGCGCACGGACGGACTTTGTTTCCGCGTTTGCCTTTTAATATATTTTTAACTTTTTAGCAATTTTAGGATTTTATTTGTGCGCCTTATTATGGCGCATTTCAACAGAGATGTAGAGGGGTTTACTGCATCACGTGTGGTTAAGACGATCGGCTCTGAAAACGTTGATAATTACACGGTAAGCAATGAGCCTAGAGGCTAGAGGAAAAATTGAAACGTGACTCAACTTTTTACTTTTTGTTTCGATTTTGATATAGATCTAAATTGAATTACGGAGGTAAATATTTAATATGTATGGCTCAACTGTGTGTAGATGTAGTGAAGTAAAATCTTTTGACCGAGATGATTGACCGATACTCATTATTCATGTTACTCAAACACGAAAGTTAATAATATTTAAAAGTTACTTTTCTTTTTTCGTAGTTGAAGGATGAGTCTTTTGTGTATTCTTTGTTGCAGTTATAAGCTTCACAATCAATTCTAGTAGCATTATCTGTGCAATCAATTTCTATGATAGACCTTGCTCACTAAAGGTTTGTTTCTTTGATTCATGGACACAATTAAAATTGATCTGAATTATTGAAAATTCCCACTCTACCTCAACTTTCCTTATTACAGATACTGGGAAGCATTTTATATGTATGACCCCTGCATTTATTTGACCAGGCACACCCCTTTTTATTTGGATAAAAATGTTTTGAAAACTTTGACCTGGTGTCCCACATTTCTTTTACTACCTGAATTCCCATATCTTTTGAATGTTTTCTCAGTTCTCTTCACTTGATGGAGAGCAGAGGGAGGATTTTATGAGATGAGCCTTGCTAGGTCATCAATTTGAAGACCGTATGATACAGAGAATAAAAGGTTCTGTCTTTTATCGTATCAGTATAGACAGTTTCTTATTCCTTCTGATTGTTTTATTTAATCAGTGACTAAAAAGTTGTACCTTATTAACCATTTCAGGTATATATCCTAGAAGTATACTGTGGCAGCTATTCATGGACAGTAAGACACAGATACAGTGAATTTCATGAGCTTCATGAGAGGGTAGGGCCTGTTAATTTTCTGTTTTAATATACAACTTGTGATGAGTTTTAACTGTTTGACTTTGTGTCCAGTCCATGTTTAGGTAAAGCTTACGTATATAAGGCCATTTCTAACAATTGAATAAAACTTAAAATAATAATTTTGACATAAGAAAATTAACTTAATTTGATACAAGGAGCAAGAATAATACAATAACCATAAAGCTTTTAATCTTGTCTTAGAAGACGGATCAAAAGTGATCATACTAATAGCATTCTTTCTTTATCTTAAGCTTGTGACTAAGTACAAAATAGACAAGACTCTGCTCCCACCAAAGAAAGTGTTTGGTAATCAGAATGAGGAGTTTATCAAGAAGAGGCAGGCAGACCTGGAGTTGTACCTACAGGTTCTAATGCACTACCTGCCAAAACTTCCACCGGAGCTGGCTTTCTTCTTGGATTTTGATAAATATGTTAGTTTTTTGCTTTGTTGAATGTTGTATGTCTATTTTTATATACAGTGTACGTGAGTAAAGATTAAGGATGTAGTAAATTGGTGTATTTGTTATTTTGGAGATGTGTAATGTGTCAACAGCAATATTTTTATCAAATGCAGAAATTCATCATTTTGCTTTAAACTTATTTGTACACGTGCAAGCATGATCCCATCTCACTAAAACATTTAAGATGAATTTCACTTTTTGTTTAATTCTAGGAAATTCATGGTATAACACAACTTTTAGCAGAGCATCTCTTTGAAAAAGGTAAATCATCTGTCATACTTTGTAGATTAAAAGAAAAAATTGATGACTAGTATCAGTTAACAAGGTATATCAGTATGATATAAGATGTACTTAGTTGTACATGTATGCTTTTTATGTTAAACATTCTAAAGACCAGTTGTATTTGATGTCACATATATGCACTATACAATATAATTAAGCTTGATTATTGTAAAAAAACGAATGAATGTGCTGCACTTTGACAAAAGTAAAATCTCAAAGTTGTAATCCTTCATTTTAAACGTATTTAGACATATTGGTTAAAAAAAAAGAAATAAAGTATTGTACATGTAGCTGTCAAACTGTAAGGTAGAAGACCACTTGCTTTTAATACTGAATTATTATTCTTTATTAGTGAAAAAAGGATTTGTACGTCTACCAGGTGTCTTATCCTATGTTTATTTATTTTTGTGTGGACTATATTTCATTGCAGGAGAAAAAATTCTCCAATCTCAGCAAACCTTTGTGGTGTCTCCTCTTCATTTAAATGCTGTGACACAGAGGTTGAAACTGCCAGAACCCACCTGTGGTAAGTGTTGAAGCCACTTTTGGTAAAATTGCCAAAAAAATAACAGTCCCCTCCTTTCTCTCTCTCTCTCTCTCTCGCACACACACACACACACACACACACACACACACACACACACATGGGACAGAAGCAATGTACACAAAAATGCACAGGTCCATGTATAATCTAAGCAAGGAGGTTTATGTAATGCAACTTAGTGCTTCTGGCAGAGGTTGGGCTGATATGAGGAATCCTGAACAACTTGAAGTCTACTTTTTTTGGCTATTGTAAAATTTTCAGACCATAAAAAACTTTTTGCATGGGTACAAATCTTCTTGCTTTCAGGTTTAAGTGACCTTCTATTTTTGCTTTGTTGTTATTTAAACACAGTAACATTTTAGTGCTTAGTCATTGCTTTATATTTGTATTAGATATAGACAGTAGCATTTCACCTTTTATGCATGAGCTTTGATATTTCCTACTTGTGCACTTTTTGTTATGACTCAAAAAGAAAGCCTTACACTGTTATCTTATATTTGGTCATTGTTATCTTAATAACAGGCATGAGGTGTTCAGACATACAGTAGAATTATGTACTGTGTTGTACAAAATGTTACAAATCTGAAATGCTTATTTTGGTGATCTTAATGTTGACACAGCATTCAATTTCTTTGTGACAGACAGAAATCTTTAAAACTCAATCTTTAATTTAAAACTCAGGTTGATCTGACCAAAAATTTTACTAAGTGCTCTTTGTTACCTAATGTATATTTTACAGCAGTTTTGTCTTAAATATTTTCTGTTTCCTCACCCACAGATCATATTTTAATCTGTAAGTGTTATAAGCCTATTTTTTCTCCTTATGCTTGAGATGCACTTAACACTGCTGTACAAAAACCTGATTGAATAATTGAATTGACCCTTAAACTTTTTTAATCAGAATGATTGGAAAGGTGCATTTGTAACAGAGACATTTTTCTTTAACCAAGTCATATTTCAACAATTGTCAGTCTGATTTATAACAAAAAACTTTTTTATTATATCTGAGTCATATTTCAACAATTCTAAATAGGTAATGAAAACACATCAGAACTAGATTAAATGATATTGTAGTCAGTTAACCATGATGTCCCTATGTATTTATTCAACTTACAATTTACAATAATAAAGTTGGTGCACAAATGGCTTTAAAATGTACACTCCCTGTGTAGAGAAAATGGCTTTCATATGAATTGCTAGAGGTGAAAAAAAATGTACCACTTGTGATTTGAGATTTGTACAATAGTATCATTATACGTAAAGATAACAATTATAACAATGTTCTTTTACAGTGAATTCCCTTTGAATTTTAATAGATAATAATAAATGGAGATTTAAATTTAAATGACATAAGTTTCAGTAAACAAATTTGGACAGGTTTACATAATTTAAAAGGAAGAAAAGAATGTAATGTGGCCTAAGAAATATTTCTGGATAATCAGCAATCAAATTTTAATAAATACACAGGTTATCAGGTGTATCATTTTGCTGACAGGTTTGCCATACAAAATATGTACAGATAATGTTTATCATGCACATGACATTTCGATTGAGAGTCTGATCATTTTGCAAATGACTAATCAATTTTGTATTTCATTTTAATCAGTTGTGGTGCGCAATTTTGCTTATTTTGATATTCCCAGGGGTAAACCTGTATTTAAATCAACAGCAGAATAACTCATGTTGACAAAAGGAAATTAAGTTATTAAAATTGTGTGTGTGTGTGTGTGTACATGTATGTGTGCATATTTATTTTCATGCACAGAGTTTGCTTTCCTGCACATAGGTATAGCACATGGATGCACAGCTCGCTCTTCCACTGCATATCTCTAATGATTTGTGTTTTATATTCTGATTTCAATAGCACTTTTAATTTAAAGCTTTTACATAGTTTAACAGATAATGGCTACTTAAGTTAATATAATGCACCTGATAAATAAATGATTTTAGATAACTTATGCAAAGCAATATATATATATATATATATATATATATATATATATATATATATATATATATATATATATATATATATATATATATATATATATATATATATATATATATATATATATATATATATATATATATATATATATGAATTTTGAGCTTTTTCTATTTTAAAATAGATACATATTTATATCCTTTGGTTTTAAAAAGAAAAAATACAGTTACCAAGGTAGTGTCTATTGTTTAGATAATTGTTCACTTTTTATTTAGTACATGAAATCTTAATTCTAAAATGCCAAATTATCAAGAATTTTGTTTCTCATTTTCAGATACAGGAGATATGAGAAAAGATTTAGGCCATATTTTAGATTTTTTTACTAGATTAAAATATCTAAAGGTGAGTTATTTGAAAGGCCTGTTCAGACATGGTCTTACTTANTATTATGTTTTCCTTTACAATTTTTTCTCAAACACTTGCATTTGTGACTTATAACTCTCACCCGCTCGAGGCTCTGCACATTTTCTGTATTTCCACATAAGCAATTGTATTTTTTTTATGTCTTTAAACATTATTTAAAATTATTTTATGCACTGTCATCATTTTTCAAATATTGAGACTTTCATCATGTGACTATAGTCTCTCATGGTCCTGAAACTGTAATCTTATCGAAGGGGTGGATTGAGACCATCATCTGGGTCTTCTTGAAGACAGGTTATTAAGTTTATATTGACTGGTATCTATTTTTTTTCTGTTGGAAGACCATCAAAATGGAGGATGGATCAACATAGATACTTTGGAATACTGTCAGAAAATATCTTAGGGTCCGCTCCTGTTATTGACCATATTACCTGTTGTGCATGATTAAAATTCAGTGTTGACTGACAGTGCTATTATAAGCATTATTTATTATTGCATCAAAATTGACAAAATGACCCATTTTGCATCTTTATTTTCTGTTTTTTGTCTGTACATTTGACAGCTTTGCTGCCTTGTTTGGTTTTTGTTTTTGTTTTAAAGAAATGTTCAATTTTTATGCACAATAATAGTTTAAAACTTTGCTTCTGATTGTTTTTTATTTATTCATTTTTTAAAAATATATCCTTTGGCATCTTTATTTCAGATAAAGATAAATAAACATGGGGACATGTTTATATTTTAATATATCACAAGTGCATTGAGATTAAAACTGACCAAAGAAAATCCAAAATTTTATAATTATTATTATTTGTTAGTTTGTCAACTAATATGCTAACCTGGCCTCACTTATTTATTAATTCTCTGTAGCTCCAAAGAATTAATATTTACTGTTTGATTTATCTGTAAACCACTCTCCAAGGTTAATAAATGTTATTATATTTATAATTAGTGACTAAGTTAACAGCACTTTCTGGCACAGTCCTATGAAATGCTACACACTGATGCAGGGAGCTCTGAAGATATAGTAAAGAGTTCTCGTATCATTGTGGAGTGGTCCATAGGTGTCTCCACTGCATGGAATACTTGTCCATAGGTGTCACCACTGCATGGGTAACTAAAATAAAGGTGTTTCTATGGCATGGAATATGGGTTCTCTTGCTAAGTCACGCTCGGTGTAATCGGCTTAATTGCCTGCCCACCTTGTAACTTTAAGTACTTGGTAAAGTCAGGAAAACTTTGTGGTCCATGATGTTGTTCATGTTGCTTTGTGAGGGGGCCTGCCAGACATTTAAGCAGATTACATTGACTGTGTCTTAGCTAGAATCTCTGCTGAGATGGATCGATCCTGCTAGTACGATAACTTCCATTCTGAGCACAGCCTAGGTGTTTTCACTGCATGGAATGGTGATCCATACCTTTCCCCGCAACATGGGTAACTGAAGTAACCATTGGTTCTCAGGGTGTTTCTTCTGTACAGAATACTGCACTGTAGGTGTCTCTACTGCACAAGATAGTACTGTTCCCTGGATTGTGCACATAGTGAACTGGTTAATGTCTTAAGTTTTGATGAATGATTGTAAATTCTTCACTTATTTACAGTTTTGTGACTTAGAAGTATTGTTGTATGCATGTGTTAATGTCATATAATTTGATATATATAGATGTGCTTAAGGAGGTCTATAATGACATACCGCTAAGGGTAGGGCAACTGAATTAATATTTGCTAGCTTTATCATAACATTTCTAAGTCAGCTATATTCTCATTTTATATGTATGTATCTTGTGCTCTCTAACAATCAAGTAAATACATTCCATTTTGAACTTTGAATTATGAAAGCTTTTCTGTTCCAGATATTGGGCACTAAGGAGCCTTTAGGCACCAGCAATATTGAAGTCAATCAGTTGTCCTTTGAAATGAATTGCTTCAAGTCACTTACAGTGCTAGAGGTATACAGTGGGGCAATAACTGTATTGCAAATATATTAAAACATAAACAAAAACAGTATTCAGCCACTGTGCTGTTTAATTCTTTTTATTTGTATGATAAAGCTTAATTTTTTTTATTTAAACATTATGTGATTTAGGTTTTATTTCTGCAGATTATCTGAAGAGCAGTGTCTTTAAGTCATCTTAATGATTAAAAAATCACACAGGAATTGAATTTTATTGGTAGTTTTGTAATACTCCACTACAAAATAATGTCTCTGCATGGATTTATCACTGCTTCATTTACAGCTTGACCAGTGTAACATTGGAACTATCTCTGTGGTGGACACAGTCAAAAAGACACTGAAACACCTTATAGTCCACGGGTCTTTGCAAGCACTCAAGGTGAGGGGAAAAATGGGGATACATGAAACTTTTAAAAGCATTCAGTAACTGCCAGACCTTTATATGAAAATAGTAAATTCTTAAAAATTGAATAAGCACAAAGATTTTAGTATTATCCCCTTTATCACTATGGTATGCCCTATCCAAAACTGATGAGAGAAAAGCAATCCACATCCATGTTTTCATGTTTTATGTCTATTAATTTTACCATCTCGAAATCAAGATTCACTAGTCCCTATCTTCACTCTCAAAATCAAGTGGCTCAAAATCTAACAACTTTTATGTCATTGTAGGACATGCTGCTTCGTGACATCGTGTACTGGCAGACGGAGGACACGGAGGAAACGGCTGTGTTACCAGTGTGGGAATCACTGCAGGCAGCTGACTTCAGTCACAATGAGATCAAAGAAATTGATGAGTCTGTGGTGAGAAATTTGATTCTAAATTAGATGTGAATACGATTTTATGTAGCTGTGATTTTATTGCAGTTGTAAAGAAATATTCTTGAATTTTTGACATGCCTCCTCACAATCACCACCTTTACCACACACACACACACACACACACACACACACACACACACACACACAGAATTTTGGGAAGATAAGATTGTATTGATATAATTTTAACTATTTATTTTTTTCAGAGACTTATGCCTCGTCTTGAATACCTAGATCTGAGTCGCAATCAACTCTCTGATGTACAGCATCTTCACTACCTTCCTGCACTTAGCCAGGTCAACTTGGCCCACAACAGACTCCGCACACTGGAGTCACTGCATGTGCGACTCGGCAACGTGAAAATACTTAATCTGTCGGGCAATCAACTGGATACACTGGAAGGTTTGTTCCTTGAAAGTGATATATGTTACCTCTTTTTTCACTCTTGTATCATATTTATGTGTAACTAAATAACTAGTATTCGTAAGTCTAAACAGATATTATTTACCAAATATTTTGAACTGACATATTTTTCAGTATTTGCGTGAGATGTTGCTGGAAATTTTTCTAAAGCCATAATTAGCATAAAGGCCTTAGGTGGATAAAATAGCAGCATCTTTAAACTAGGGACACAGTTTCAATTAACTTATTTTTAGACTGCATTTATAGCACATGTTTATATGATTTATTACTGTTTTTCTTTTTTTTTTTAAATATATACTTAGGTCTGTCCAAGCTTTACTCTCTGGAAACATTGAATGTCAGCAAAAATAAATTAGCTGAGGTGAGAAAACAATGTTTGGTACTTGACGATTTAAGAATCAAATACTGTAAAGTGAGTGAAAGCATGAATTTCAAGATTATGTAATGACACAAGGGCATTGTGAAGAAAGCCTGTATGTGAGCGTCCATTTGGTCACTGGTCAGAAGATGGCTACATTTTGTATTAGAAAACTGGGAGAAGTAAAAATATGTTGCTGTTATTCCAAGTAGAGAGCATGTTATGCATTATAAAAATCTCCTCCACTTTGAGTTTCATTCTGTGTGTTATTACATTGTCTTATCTAACACATGGTTACACATCAAACCTAACACAATGTCACACCTAACACAATTGCTTATTGCTGTAATTTCAGGTAGAAAATGTGCAATGTATAGGCAAGCTTCCCTGCCTTGAGAATCTCATCCTCCGTGATAACCCTATCAGGACTGTGGTAGACTACAGAGTGGCTGTACTGGAGCTGTTTGGAGACAGAGCTAAAGAGGTGAATAGCGGAAATTGATTTTGGTTGAATGGTCTTGATTGAAGAGTTTAATTTGTTTGCATTGGCTTTTGGCACTATACTTTAAGTTATAAGTGTAGTTAAATCATCATTATTTTGTTAAATTTTAAAAAAAGTTCTGACAGTCCCTGTATGTGAATGAAAGATAAAACGTTACAATTTTCATTTCAGGATAATTCATTACTATGGTGACATTTTTGGAAATATTTAGTTTTGTATATATTATGCAAATATTATTGTTTTTATATAAGATAAGAAAATAACAATCATAAGAAGAAAATAGAATAAGGTAATTATTTTCTTCATTTAGGTTCTACTTGACAAAGAGGCAACAACACAACAAGAACTTGATAAGATAGCAGTAAGACTGGCCTTACAAAAAGCAAAAGATGACAGGGCAAAGAGGCAGAGCACCTCTAGTACAGCAGACACATCTTCTATACCAAATTAACGGTAGTTTCTCCAACATAACAATAGGTGGCGTGACTGCCTACTGCCAAGGTGGCAGACGGCCAAGACAAGAGTATCAAATGTTCAGTACAGAAGCAAATGGCAGATATCACATCTGTGGAGATTGGAGAAGGGAGGAAAATGGCATCTTTTTGCAAGAGTTAAAAGGATGCCAGAATCAGCTACCTCTCAATTACCAGCATGGTATTTGTGATCAGCCTGTGTCCTGTCCTGGAAGGAGTGATAGTTCACCAATGCTGTAAAATGAACAGATACACCACTGGCCAGTAAAACTGCTGTACAACAGACTGAAGACTAATGTTGAAGGGTCCTTGTATTGAGGCCTAGCCTGGAGAAAAATATATATTGTATGGCACCAACGCAAAAAATATGTGGCATTTTTTTCCACATATGAAAGGATGAATATCACCACTTTAATGGCAACTGGGATGTTTATGACCAAAAATTTGAGGAGCGAGGGGATGTTTTGTCATTACAAAAAAGGACATATGACATGTCATGTGAGAGTCATGTGACATATCATTTGAGCCATGTGACATTGAGTAATAGTCACTTACTCTATAGATATGTACATGTATGTAATTAACTTTCTTAAACCCATCATTGGTGTGGGTAACTGCTATTATTTGGGCTCTCCTATAGCAATATAGCAATATTTAGCCTTGTATAAGTTACCGAGGCACATACAGACATGATGCAATACCAAGACTGGTTTAGGTCCATATTTTCCCACCAAAAAACGCCAACTGATTAACACCACATTTTTTGTGCAGGCTAGTTTGGGTCAGTTTTTGTTTCTGAATGCAAAGGCATCTGGCGTGTCTAATAAGCCTCAAAAATAACTAAATGAATGTACTCCTATTCGTTTTATTAACAGTATGGTACTACATTTTTTATGCCGAAAAGCTGCATGTGGCCAAAACAGTTACTTTAAGGAGGCAGATAAATACCTTTATGACTGACTCCACTGACATGGAGACTTTAAAGTCTACATTCCATTGGCATTTGAGATTGAACTAAATCTGTAATAGATGTCTTTTCCTAAAAGGGGGAAAGTTTTATTTTGTGTGCTTTATGAAAACTGATGTTCTGAATTCACCAGTCCTCTGTGATAGTTTACACAGTATGTGATAGGATTAATGTGATGTATTTGATTGTTGTTGAAATAGTTTTATAAGCAGGATTTAAGTTGATCTCTCCAAAACCATCGTCTTCTTTCCTCAAGAGCGCATTCAGAACAGATGGTCCACAGACTAATTGATCCGTCGACTAAATATGGCCGACCCCACCTTAAAGCAAGCCATCTAGATCTCTTGATGGTCTCCATGCCTCCACACAAGCCATTACGGATTAAATCTCGGCTCTGAGGTTTAATTGTTAGGCCCCTGCAGGGACGGAAAGAGACCATCAGGGGATTAGCGGCATTGCTTTTAAGTGGGTCAGCCATATTAAGTCGACGGATTAATTAGTTCGCAGATCAACTCATCCTGAATGCGCTCTTAGTGTAAGGAATAAGAATATCTGGATCTGTACACAAACGTGGTTATGTAAAGAATTTAGGGGTTTTAGTAACAGTCAAGCAAGATGCTACAACGATTTTAAATACCTGATAATTTCTCTTTTAGATAAATGTTAGTGATTAGGCAGTTTTTAGCTGAATAACTGTTTTTAGATTGTGCAACTTGATAATATGCAACATTTTGAGTCTTGCATGCCTTGTGAAGATCGTTTCACTGTACGCTGTTATCGCTTGAGGCAAAGCATTTTCTACTCTTTTATAAGATATTTTATCAATGTTTTTTGGCACACACTTCACTTTTCTTGAAGTATTGTTTAGAAATGTTACAGAGAAACATACATTCTCGTGGAACTTCATGAATTTGAAGAAATTTTTGCACTGCAGATTAATAAGAAAAGATTTATCCCCATGGTTTTACAAAGAACATGGTATTACTGCAGTCTTTTTGTTGATTTTTAGAGCACGATTAATAATCTTTTCAAAGGCTCTCATAAAATAATACTGATAAATCCAGTGTTACACACTGAAGAGAATGCATTCTGAAAAGTCTTTGTACGAAAAATTATTGTTATAATATTATGTGAGATTAGAATATATGTCTTGTGAAGGGCTCTTTGTAATTTGTAGTGAAATGTATCTTGTGCTTTTTGTCAAATTTGAAGAGAGGGCAGGGCACCCATTTATCCACAAGATTAAGCGCTCCACATTGAATGTTTTGAAACAAAATATTTTATTCTTAGAATATAGATTTAAAATTACATAATGGTAGTGTCATTGTATGTGTCTGTCTTTCAACTATTGTCTTTTATTATGTTTTTGGTAACAGCATAATCAGTGGAAGCGTATGGTATTAAAAAGTCAAATGTTTAGAGACGTATGTGGTAGAAAGCTGAGGCAACATATTTGTATGTGTGTGGTTTGGGTGGGGGGTTATTTGTGCTTGTTTGTCTGAGTCTGTATCCTTAAAATTTGCTGTCCATGTGTTTATTATAAGATATATATTTTTTCCCCTTTAAGATAATGAGGTGTAGTTATTTCATGTCCACAAATATGTGAATGTCCTATTAACTTGAAATGGATATTTTACGACATAAGCAGTGAATGACAAAATGCTACAGGAAATGGATTTTTTTGTAATTTGACATTTCTCAATGCTGTTAAGCTCCACTTAATTTATACGAAATGCTGCATCCAAGTCTGTTTTCCAAATCAGTTTTTAAGAACATGACAGTAATTCATCATCATCTCTCGTCATTAAAATTCAGTGTGGAATTTTTGTATGACAAACAAGGCAAATAATTGATCACAGAACTTGTTGATAAGGCATTTTTACCCTATGCCTCTTGTAAAATATGTACAAAAAATGATTAAAAAAAAAATACACACACATTTAATGAGCAGCCTGTTGTGTTTAATTTGAAAAATGCTTTTTAAAAAGTAATAAGATTTTAATTTTTAAAATTACGACTTTTTTTATTGAAGCAGTGTTTTACTTTTAATTTTGGGACAGGAATGATTTTACAACTCGGAGCGGGTGCGTCCTGATAGTCCGAGGGTACTGCGGAGAGATCTGTCTAAACAACGTATCTAAGTGCGGATTTCAACATCGTGTCATGGAGTAGCCTGAGGATTCATGTTGATTCACCGTATAGATCTTGGTAATAATAGAACTATAAATATTTTGATGCATCTAGAAAGATCGCTTTATAGTTCTATTATGGAGTAGCCTGTTGATGTTTATATTTCTATGTAAAGTACTTTTTAGAAAGCAAACATATTTTGATAATAATCCTCCCAAAGCATAAAATTGTTGGGAAATTAGTTAATAAATATATATTAGACATAAGAAGGTATTTTGAAAGCAACATAAAATCCACTAATATGTAGGCCTACTGAACGATAACAGAGAATGGTTGTGTTCACAAGCATTGATCGATGAGCATCCAAAAGGGCCGACGAGCGTCAACAGGAATAAAATGAGTGAAAAATCAACGATTAAGCAGATATTTATCAAAATAATTAAGCAAATTAACATCAACAGGACTAGCAGAAGAGATTTTGCAAAGAACAGTATGTAGAAGGGGGAAAAGATGCGGCAGACAGAAAAAGTCGAGTTTCGACGTCGTCTTGACTCTCTGTCACGTCACCGGCGTGCACACCCAGTTGGCATATAATAATGAGGGTCCAGCTATATGGGCAGAAGTCATATGAGCAGAAGTCAATGAGTAGTTCATTATTTGTTCATCCGAGGAGTAATCTAACAGCTCCCAGGTAGCGCCCTGATTTTGACAAAGTCATGTGAAAGCCATATGTGATTTCCACTAGTGTATATAAATATGAGCGGTTCTTCTTAAAGCACCAGTTTTACAAGAACCCAGTTTCACACAGCAGTTGTAGTGAGGGAAGAAACTCCAATATGAACCGGGCTATGACAATTGTTGTCTATACTTCTGTTCTAACAGTTTGTTTGGGACTGGACTATCCAAGGAACGGCCCCTGCAAAGCTGACTATGATGGGTAAGCAAGGGTAGGCTATATGTTGTCTCTAAGTTTGTCTTCGACGGAAAATATTTATTTATTCTATCTTCATTGGTTGTCTTTTGTTTTGTGGGCCAACGCTTATGTCTTAGTGTTGCATTTCAATAAAAGAAAACGGTACAAAAAGAATCCCTTGCCTTCAATTATCTGTGAAAATTGTTCAAAGGATACATAGTCTACGTTACTTGTCTCGTTTTCTTTTATTTTAATGTTGCGTACGACGTTGTATATGTGCGCACGCATGTTTTTACGTCGCTCATTCTTCTTTGTTACGTTAAAATGATACATACGTTACCGATACATACGGTATGTAGTAACATTTGTATCGGTAACGTATGTATCATTTTAACGTAACAAAGAAGAATGAGCGACGTAATAACAAGCGTGCGCACATATACAATGCAACCACAGAGCCGCGACAACAGAGAACAAACAATGAAATCAGAAAACAATACCTTCACGTTATTTGGTAACGTATATATCGGAAAACAGAATAAACAAATCTTTATGTAAATAATGTATACTACATTACAATAAAAAGAAAAAGCAGGGCAAGTATAGATTACTTGATGTTGCATTAAAATAAAAGAAAACGAGACAAATAAGATTTCTTGCCTTCAACTATCTGTGAAAATTGTTCATATGATAGAAACGTTACAGATACATACGTTACCAAATAACGTGAAGGTATTGTTTTCTGATTTCATTGTTTTTTCTCAGTTGTCGCGCCTCTGTTATTTCGTGCGACGTTGTATATGTGCGCACGCTTGTTATTACGTCGCTCATTCTTCTTTGTTACGTTAATATGATAAATCATAAATCTATTCGTTACCATGAAGCGTGTAAATATTTACTATTTTCATTGGTTGGCTTTCGTACTGTGGGCCAACACTTATGTCTTAATGTTACATTATTTTTCAGTCCTTACAAGGAGTCGGAGATGAAAGAATACACTGCAATGGCTAACTGCACCGAGGGTCGCTTTGACTGGAACTTCCCCATGGGTGCAACTTTGTTTCGCATGCAGAGTTCAGTATACGATGACTTTCAGTTCTGTTTTCAAGATTTGTACGGCTCGCAACTGGCCGGGTACTGGAAAATTTACGACGTCACAGGCGAAAAGATTGTCCAGATCGCAAAACCCACTAAGAGAGGTAATATCTTAGTACGAAGAGGCATATTTCAGAAAATTGACATAATGTTAAATTGTAATGACCGACTTTTAAATATGTTCAAATCATGAAAGATCTCATTTAGTCTAAAGGTGTGTTTTTATCTCAAGTAAAGGTGAAACTTGTTGCTGTGGTATCTAATCTAGGCCCTATAGGCTATGCTGTTTCATGAATTAATTGTAAATATGTTGATTTCCCCTCAATCTTTATGAAAAATATACACAAATATTTTACAGGTCAGGTTGTCTGTCGTCAATCCCAAAATGGCAGAGTTGGCCTTTTTCTGCAATCTACGGAGAAGAAAACATACACCGCAGCGTTTGCGTACAAACTCGAGAGCAAATGATGATGACATTTCACACGAAGTTGACCCAAACTTGTGCATGGCATTATGATTACTTTTCGCACTTGTAAGCAGCTTCTGAAATAAATTCAAAGTTGTTTCTGTACAGCTTACTCGTCATTTTATTCTCAGAAAACACGTAGGAAGCTCCAACTCTAACGCTTGTTGAAATATTTTGGCAGACGAATCATCAGCGCTAAAACCTGTATGTTAAGTACCGGGGTAGCTTTCCGTAGTTATCTACATGTATGTAATGTGCTCTGAGAACTTAACCGTGTTCATTGTGTATCCATGCGTGTTTTCTCGATCACCTTTTTTACTATTTTTGCGTCTCCTACAGTGATTCACCTACAGTGATTCACCATATAAATACATAATATTTCAATTCGAAATTATAAGATCTCGCACGTGTACTGGACAAAAGACACAAAGTTTAAACCTGTGCAAATGAGTAACAAAAGCGGGAAAGCTTAATGAATAATTAAACTACCGACCATAAAATCCAGAGTGGTTTAACTCCCAAGAGGGAGGTACGTTGCGTAAATTGATATATGTGCACGAATTTGCTACATATTTTAACTTTCTTCGACCCAAATGGGTTTTAAAAAAAGCGCAGGTGCTTCTCTCTTTCTCTCTCCCTCGCACTACTTCTGGTTGTACTATTTTGTAAATAATAAAGAAAGAGCTCAAGTATAAAAATTAAATTCAAGTAATAGGAATTTATAACATGTAATAGCAGCTTTTTTATCTGTAGTGATATCATCTTTAAATAAAATTTATAATCACACCAAGGTTTATCTCATTGCTTAGATAGAATATTTTATAAGTAATTTTACTAGTACTTATGTTCATTATATAAAGATGGTAATGCACTAACTGTATTGTATTGTCATTTGTATATCATATTGTACAAGGTCATGACAATCTATGTACCAGTACAGAAATAAATTGAATTGAATTGAATAAAAATACAGAAATAAAATGAAAAATATAGTGTTCCGGTACCGGGAATCGAACCCGGGCCGTCTGGGTGAAAACCAGAAATCCTAACCACTAGACCATACCGGACTACATGAAAAGGTGAGGTATTTTTAAAAATAAGTTCTTGATATGATTAGAACTATTTAAAACAAAGGTAACTAGGGTTAATTAGCATTTTAATTAACAAGTATATAACGAAATTTTTAAAAACGTAAATAAATGGTGATTAAAACGTAACAGATTTTAATTCAGAAGTAGCTAGTTTCACGAGCATGCGCAGTTCTTAAACAAAGTTACGAATGTGTTAGTTGGGACCTGCAGTTGTGACGATTGCGTATCACTCTTGCAGGATAGGAGCACATTTTCTAATATCTAAATTGATGGAAAATTAATTTTTTTAGATAATTTTGTTTAAACTGCTAACTTTTCCCCCTGAATGAATTCTTAACAATATTATTGTTTGTCCACTTGATGTTCTTATCACTGATGCAGAAATAGGGGATATGCAACTAAAAGCCCCCTTCCCCAAAATAAAATTACTCAACAATAGGCCCACGCAAGAGTAACTGCCAAGAAACACGTGAAGTAAGATTTGCATTTCTTATTGTGATCTAAATGAATCAATCTTTTTCAATTTAGTATGATAACAACAGATAAATACATACATAAGATTTTTTTCACAATTTTATTACAAGTGTATTGCATTACACATTGTTGCATAATTTACATGGTTGTATACACATAAACAATAAATGAAATAAAAGTATTATACAAAAAGAGGCAATTCATTTGACCTTAAAATAAAGCCAATAGCTGTAACACAATGGTTGGGGGTATTTCTTTCTTATGGCTTTCCATTTTACTAACTTAAAAGTAATAAATTTGTATCTGTTAGCTTTCAACTTTGCACACCATCTTTGTGAATAAAAACATAGCTTATCAACTTCAAATCACTCACATAGTCAAACACTAGTGCTCACAAAGCTGAGCAAATGGAAAGGAAAATACTGAACTGAACTGTAAACACTGCAGGGATTTTCCACGACCAGCTACAGTGCATACAACTTCCTGTTAGAAAACTATAATATAGTCATTAGAATTGGCAGATATGATGGCACATTTTATTGCTTTTTATCTTAAGTCATGTTTTTATCGACAAGTCAATATTGAAAATTGAAAATAAAGCAAATAACAGAAATCTTCAAATGTGTCTTTTAAGTTGGTCAAGTAACCTAGCTCTGCAGTCTCAACAAGTACAAAAACCTATATGCATAATAAGTTACGTTGTGTCAAGAACTTCTACAGCTACAATTGTATTATAAGTTGGCTCTTTTTTGACACAACAAATTCCACTTCTTTGTCTTTCATTATTTCATTTGCTTTAATTTTTTTGAATAATTAAACAATTTCTGATCATTAGGAAACATGAGATGTTCTTTGCACTATACACAGTTCAAATATTAATCAAAACTTAAGCCACAAAACAACAAGAATTACCCAAACAAAACAATAACCATTTGGGCTAGAAATTAAGAGACTATGCAATGCTGACTTTTATTTCTATTCTTATGTCTTTTACCACTACCACTTTTACTACTTCCATTTGGCAAAGTGTTGGATTTCATAGAGGATGCCTTCATGGGTTTATCACTGTCATCAACATATGTGAGGCGGGCACCTGGGCGCCTCACTGGTCTGTAATAAAAGTCATCATCCTCTGAATCGCTGGAACTTGAACATGTGCTGCACTCGTCTCCAGACTGAACACGAAGAAACTTATCCACCACAGCATTTTCTAAAGCAACGTCAGAGGAAGTCTTATTCAGCTGTGAGGACGACTGCGATGTATTGTGTGCATCAACACTAGCGCCCCCTTCGGTTTCAGATCCAGATTGAAGATTTTGCGAAGGGGAGGAAGTAAAGCTCCTGCTTTGCTGACTCACGGAGGCATGGATGACTGGTTTTTCTTTGGGTCGTGATATGGGGTTCATCTGGTCATTCCCAGAGCTTGCCATGGCATAGTACCTATTCACTCGGTCTATGTAACGCTCAGTCCTTGTATAAGGTACTCTGCTGCTCTGATTGGTGAACTGAGGCGG